GAGGCTGAACTGTGGCTGTTTATAATGACAAACAAGTTGACAGCACCCTGAAAGAAAGGCACGAACTTCAAGACGATAGAAAAGCACTAGTGTGGAAACCCATCTGCGTGCAATGGCAGTAAGACCGGCAGAGTGCAAGGGCTTTCCAACACTAAGAGAATAACAAGGAAAGTCATGTCGATCCCAGTGCAATGTTATAATAACTTGGGGTGTAACGACCATGACAAAGGTTTACTGCTTAAGATGCGCAAGCCAGACTTGAGGCGAGTTGCCATTTTCTAAAGCTGCAAGAGCTTGTATGATCATAGCCTTTTCTTGTGCATGGCGAGTTTTAAGGCGACAGAGAAGCCACAAACAAAGTACAACACCGAAGCAACACATTGCACCAAAAATGCCTACTCCCACCCACTCTTTGAAGAAGGAAAAAGCAGAAGATATCCAATCGGTGAATTGACCCAAAGTCACTGGTTCAACACGGGTACTATTCAAAACAGCAATCTGAGTTAGTTGAGACTGGATCAAGTTTTCTGCTTCCATGGACCAGGTTCCGGATAGATACTCTCCAATGATGCGGGAGGCATTTCTGGAATCATAAAATCTGACAGAGGTTATACATAAATGTGCACGTTGATCAACACAACCCAAATGTACTAGGTCAGACAATTCCTCAACTTGAGCTTGAAGCAGATCTATCCTTTGATTAGCAGCCAGAATCCCAGATAAAGTGTGTTGATTAATTTTACTTTGAGACTCAAGTATGGTGGATGTTTGTTGAATAACCTGATTAATAGTGGCAGCAGTTTGTACCTGGCTGGCCATGGCTACTCCAGCTATAACTGCTGCAGCAGCAGACACCGCCACAGCTGTCACTATAGCTGCCGTAATTCCAAAATCTCTACGGGCTCCAATCAGTTCAACAATAGGAAAAGACTCTGGATCTGCAGTAACCGGGATCGGGACAAAGGTTGGAAATTTCATAACTATTGCCGTAGTCCAGGAGCCATTCCAACACGCAGACAAATAACAGGTAATATTAGAACAATTAAGCATCCCCTGTAATGTAACATTAGCCAAAAGAAACAGGAACGGAGATTGGAGACGGACTGCTGCGGAGGGTAATGTAGCATTAGATAATTGTGAATTATTTGCAGAAATTTTAAGCCTCCTACCTCGCTCCGAGTCTTGGGTACTGCCAGAAACATTAAACAGCCAACTTTGGACTCCTAATATTTCCCTGGGGAAACACAAGCGCGGACTAGACTAGCCCAATCTGAGGGAGTCATGCAAAATCTAGTAAGTCCCTCCACCTGAGTGAGAGTGAAAGCGGCATCTATGCCATAAGTGCGGACAGATTCTGCCAAGGTTTTAATTAGCTTAAAGTCTAAAGGCTCATGATATCTTCCCCTGTTATTGTCCTGAAATACAGGGTATGCAAGTCCCATATCTGTATTAACTGTCCTCCAAACTTGTGCATGAAAAGATCTCCCGGAACCTTGGCTCCCCCCCACATATGGAGGTGGGGCAATCCGCACCATATCTTCTTCTAGGTATTCTACCTCCTCCTCCTCAGAGTTTTGTTGACCGATGTTAACTCCCTTCCCTTTCTTACAGTAGGCCTGCGTGCCCTGTGTCTCCTTTTTCTTCTTTTTCATTTTTATCTTATGTAGTTGTTGTAACAATATATCAAGGTCCTCAGAACTCTCTGAGTCGCTTGTGTTCTCAGGCATTTTTAATTCGGTCAAGTCTGGGTAGAGCCTTCTCCTATTTTTATCTTCAGGCTCTTTTGCCTTCTCACTACTGTTACTTTTAATACTCTCTGCCACTTCACTACATGATCCTTCAGATTTTTCCTCATGCAGTTGCTCTAAAACCTCCTGTCCTTTAGTAAGTGCTTCCTGACATCTGTCATCTGTAAGGCAACCACGGACCATTTTCCAAAGGGGTATCACCCCACCCTCTAATATGCCCTGCTCAGAAGCAAAGTCAAGATCTTTGCCTAATTTATCCCAACTAGGCACAGTAAGGCTGCCCGAAAATGCAAACCACGGTGCAGCGATATCTATCTTCTGTAAAAATCTCTGTAAAGTACTACGTTTCACTTCCAGTCCCTTGGAACGTAACAGGCCATCTAGGGCCAGGAGAAGCGGACTTGAAGATGCGGCACCCATGACACAACAACAAAGGAAGCACAAAAAAAAGAAAGCGAAAGTAGGAGCAAAAGTACACAGTGCAGCTGCAATAAAATGTAAGGCTCTCTCTTTCATTACAGAGGAGCTGTCCCGCTTTGGTCGCGGATCCCACTTACTAGGGACTAACCCCGCTTTGATCGCGGATCCCACTTACCTGGGACTAACCCCGCTTTGATCGCGGATCCCACTTACCTGGGACTAACAGGTGCACCACCCCTGACTGTTGAAAGTTCTGGTTCCCGGGTCTCGGCACCACTTGTCGCGACCCCTTGCCTGCAAGGAAGACGCAACTCGGGAATCTTCTTTCAGCAGTTTATTCAGGCCCTTGATATTTCTTCTTCTCTCTCTCGGATGCCCCTCCCAGCCTTAATAAAGCATCCCAAGCCCCAATGCAAAGCTGCCGCGTGGAGCTTTCTCACAGGGTGGTGAAAAATTATGTGCCAACTTTCCCAGATAAGAAGTTGTTTGTCACAGACCACAGCGGAGCCAGCGCCATCTTGTAATGGCGACCATAATCTGCAGAAACGGCAGAAGCGGCTCACCACACCCCTCATGAGTCCTGAGTGGGGTGAGCAACCAGTTCCAGCCCCCAGGTCCACTCACATTCTTTGCTTTCTCACCATGTGGGGACTCCATGGGTCTCTCTGAGCCAAATTCAGTATTTTTGACATTTTGAATATTCTCACTGTGTTACCTGTACTTGAATTTGTTTGCTGAAGCTTATTAGTGAGCCATTTTTTCCTGTTCAGCAAGGGGAGTAAGAATTGGTGTTTCCCTGGGTCCTGTAACAGAAGCCGTTAACTTCTATAGCTAACCTGGCATCTCAAGGTACCAAGGTCCATGGTAAGTTCCAGCAGGTGCAAAAGATTTTGAACTCTCTGGAAAAAATGTGATAACTTTATTTTAAGTATTCAAACACTCTCTATTATTTCCTTAGTCATTTTAATAATCTCTCCCATGAGTTGTATCCTCTCAAGAGTCTTCAGTGTTTTCCACCGACCACTTCAGAGATGATTCCTTGTGGATCAAACAAGAAGTAGAATACGACATAATCGTGGAAATATTCTAGTTTGTGACCTAGAATGTCTACAGAAGAGAAACAGCATGGAGTGACAGATTCATGCTACATAGATGAAACAGTTCCCCACATTCTCAGATCAACCAGGAGAATGATTAGGAGGGAAGACTTGTTAAAGAAAACTTTGAGAAAGGTCAAAATATTTCTTCCAATTTTATTTGTAAACTATGCTGCAACTGCTTTGAGGAGGCTTTCTGGAAACATTCAGTTCCATCTCCTGTCTTAATTTGTGAGCACAATAAACACTTGACGTTTTCTAACTTGTTCTGATTTCAATTTTGACAATATTTATATTATAGCATGGTTATTCATAATAGTGTTATTATGTACCTGGCTCAGAAATACTCTGGTACAAATGCTATTTTAGATAGGATCCATAGAGGTAATATTGTGTAAGTTAAAATGTCTTGACATAATAAACAGAACATATTTTGTCTAACTAGTCTGTGCTAACACATCTAACTAAACGAAATTCATTTAAACTAATCTTGGATTAGATCCCAGAAGCTGAAAAGCAATTCCTTGTACTGTGGTCTTTTATTCATGAGGAGAGACAATATTGGGTCACTAATAAAAATGATGAACTTGATCTTTGAAGTTATTTAATTTACCTAACATGATTGAATAGTTATGCATTCAAAAACTCATCAGTAGACCTTAACTGAACACCAAAACTTATATATTTTTCTATAGGAATTTCCAAGTTAAATCCCTAATAAATCTCTTTTTTAAAGACCACCTATAGTCTGGTAGAAGAAGAATCCTTATTTCTCCCTTCATTCAATTTATCACAAATCCTGAAGAAAAATTTATCATGCTTTCTTGGAGTTTCTGAAAATGTCAAAATGATTTCCTCCTTTTCCTAGAAAAACATCTTTACATCCACATATACATACAAAGGCCATGTGCCAGGCCCAAGTTTTAGTTACTAATGTGATTGAGAAGTGTAAGTTAAAGCAAGGTAGTTTTTCTGTAGGACTTATTGCAAATACAGTTTCTGTATTTCAGCTTTTAATTATATGATTTACTCTCTAATCAATCTACTTCTAAATTCTGAAAAGCAGATGAAACAGAGAGCAATCCCCTAGGCTGGAGGTCAAAGGAAGGGATGAGTTTGTGTCACCCAGCTAGATTCAAAAACTCAAGTTTGGGAAAAAATACAAACAGTTTTTCCCACATTTTACCTCTTGCCCTCTTCACCACATAAGCAGATTCAAAAGAAACAGGAAACCACTATCATGACACACAATTTCTGGTTACACTTAGTGACTCAGGAGAGGAATACTCAAAGTTTTGTTACTTAAAGATTCTTTAATAAAAAATACAAATTAGAAGATGATTGGAGGGCTCTGAGCTGAGAACATGTTATCTTACCTACTGTTGTAAATAATGAGAGGACACCAGTGTCCTAAAGCCTATGAATTCAAAGTTCTCACTTAGAGCACAGGTTCTCAAAAGTTTATAAGCCTACAGATCACTTGAGGATTGGATTAACACATGGATTTCAAGGTAACAGTTCTAAGATCAAGAATGTATTTCTGCGCTTCTTACAGCCTCCAAAATAATGCCAATGCCTCCAGTCCATGTATACATGCTAAGGGGGCAGGCTTACAAAAAATGAAGGAAACTCAATATTTTCTAAATAGCAATTTAGCTGAAACTCCTAAAATATCCACAGAGAATACTGGAATTCATTATCAAAATGCAAATATATTTGAGCAAAAACTTTATAGTTATGGTTTATGGCCAAGTGGAGGTATTGACAATGTCCTGATGATATTTCTTCTGAGGACATTCTTCAAGGCCTGCTTTACATCTTTGTTCCGCAGACTGTAGATCAAGGGATTAAGCAAAGGGGTTACAAAAGTGTAGAAGACAGCGATTATTTTGGAGTCCTCAACAGTCTTGTCTGTTGGTTGTCTTACATACATGCAGAACAGGGTCCCATAAAACAAGGTGACAGCCATCATGTGGGAGCCACAGGTGGAGAATGCCTTGTGCCTTCCCTCTGCTGATTTGATCCTGAGGATGGCAGCCATGATGAAGGCATAGGACACCAGGATGATGGTGAGGGAGCTGGAGAGATTGAAGCCAGCTGAGATGAGCATGGCATGCTCTTTGACATACGTGTCAGAGCAGGAGAGCTTGATGAGTGGTGGGTCAGCACAGTAGAAATGATTGATGACATTGGACCTACAGAAGGTCATGTGGAAGGTCAGGATGCTCTGGAAGAGTCCATCTGAGAACCCATACACATAAGGACATGTGGCCAAGCAGATGCACACTCTCCTGGACATCTTCACACTGTAGCGCAGAGGATCACATATGGCCACACAGCGGTCATAGGCCATTGCAGCGAGCATGTAAAACTCTGTGAGGAGAAGGGCAATGAAAATGTAGCACTGTGTAAAGCAGCCCACATAGGAGATGGTCTTCTTCTCTGATAAGAAATTCTTCAGCATATGTGGGGTTGCATTGCAGGTGTAACACAAGTCCACAAAGGCCAAGTTACTGAGGAAGAAGTACATGGGCATGTGAAGGTGAGAGTCCAGTTGGATCAACACTACCATGCCCAGGTTCCCAGAGAGGGTGATGAGGTAGAGGGCCAGAAACAGCACAAAGAGGACAGGCTGGAGCTCTGGGCGATCCGTGAGCCCTAGCAAAACGAATTCTGTTATCACACTGCCATTTCTTGTGGTCATTTTCTGAGAATCATGGTATGTCCTTCAATTATTGATATTAAGCAGACATGAAGATACAAAAGGATGAGCATTAAAAATACATATTTTCTTAAATTTTACCCTTCAAAATGAATTTTTTTTTCATCACAATAAATATTCATGAAGAAAACTTTTCCATACTCAACAGACAGTGTGATTATATAGTGTAGGCACAGAAATGAAAGAATCCTAAAAGGTTCTGCCTTCTGAATTCTTTTTAGTGGACAGAGACCAATAGAAGAGAAAGCCAAAAAATGATGTTTCAAATAACAAATAGGAAGAGCTTGCTCTAAAGGTGACTTTTTTTCTTTAATAGTGAACTGATAAAAAGAATATTTTAAGAAGTTTCCCAGTGAGGGTAAAGAAAAGATGCCAAGATACCTTGTGATTTCTCTTTGAATGTGTTAGTGATTGTGTGATTGTAGATTTCATGTAAACAATGCAGAAAATTCCAACTGAGAGTTTGTTGCCTTCTTTGAAAATCTTCTCTATCACTACCTATAACTTTCCTGTAAGCAAATTTAACAGCCTTTATTGGGGAACAGGGATCAGTGTTTATTTGAAGCTACTCTTGAAGAACATCAAGCAGGCAATATTCTTAAATATATATATATATATTTTCATTGGATGGCATCAGCAAGAGCCACAGGTTTTTTTTTTTTTTCATAGTCCTTTGTACCTGAGAAGCCTCAGAAAGGAAATAGATGGTGGTTACTGGAACAGAGGAAAAGGGAAGGAAGATAAACAGGATGTGAGAAGTTCAAATTAGAAAAAGAGCCAAAAATTATGTTTGAGTTCACTTGCAAGAGGAATCATTTGTTGCCTGTGTTATTTTAAACTAATTTGATAACTTTACTCAGGTGGAATCTAGGAATATCCAAATGAAGTAGAGCAGAATATTTAGAGAAAGAGAGATAAGCAAAAACAACTATGAGTAAGTACACAAAAAGGAAAATCCCAGCAGGGCTTATTACTTGTATATTGTCAACAGAAAAGGAGAACTGAAAAGGAAGTCCTGGGAGTGCTAGTTACACCAGCGGAGCCCTTACTCAACAACCAAGAACCAGCAGAGAGGTAGCTCAAGGAGAGAAGAAAACCAGGCAATATAAAACCTGGAACCAGGACCAGCTACAGAATGCACCAGGTGCAGTATGATAAAAAAAAAATGTAAAATCCTTGTTCAAAAATCTAGAAACTTCAAGTCCATGAGAGTAGAGCATTAAAGTAAGTTTGAAACCGTTCTAAGCACAGTTGTAATTTCACAAACTTCTTCATTTATTACCCAGTCAAGCCTACAACTTTGAAGCCTAGAACTCTCATGTTAAAATGCAAACAAAAACAAAAGAATAAAAAGATGCCCCAAAGAAAGAGTTTTAGCACAGGTGAGAATGTTCTAGGGGATAACCATTTTCAAGGAGTTAGCTATTAGGAGAAATTCTGTAATCTGCTAATTTACAAGTGAGTAGGAAAACATGTTCAGAAAACTGATAAAATTATTTTATATACATTTATAAATATACCACAATGAATTTCACTTTATATATATCTATACTGCATTAATTAAGATAAAAAACATAAATCAATAGAAGAAAGACCAGTAGAACAGAGGAAAGTTAATGGAAATAAGGAAAGAAGGGAAAGAGAAAGAACTGGGGACTGAACTGAAGCAAATTCTTATGTAATTATATAATATTAATAATCATATATATAATATAATTATGCCAGCATGAACCCCAATATTGTGAATAATTATATTGCCCTATATAAAAGGAATTTAGAAGAAAATAAAATGAAAAAAAAAACTTTTAGCAAGAAATCATTGTTAGAATGAATCTTAAGCATTTGGGGGATTATTTCATTTATTTATTTGTAAAATTAATTACTTGAAAATTCAAATGAGACTAAGAGTCTTCAAGAAGGTTAATGTCTATGCTCCAGATCTTACCCCAAAAGTATAAGGAGCTCATAGCTCATGTGGACCTAAGTTTACAAGCTCCTCTACCCAGAGTAAGCTTCATTCCACATCTGAAATGGCTTTACATTTCACGTAGTTGGTGGGGCATTTGCTTTTTCTGGTGGTTTTGCATCAGAGATCCTGCTATAAAATACCAACCAAAGTGCTCACAGTAAATGTAAGTAAACCTATTGTCAGATAAATTAAGTCAAGTTCCAACTCTGTAACCATAGGCAGCAAAGAGAGTATATGTATGCTCCTAGGAAATAAGGCAAACTAAAGTTAAATTTGTCCTAGAGCTCTTACACACAGATCTGCTTCTTTGTACACAGCCATTGAGAGAAGGCACATTGTTCAGAGGTAGACATCAAGATTCCTGTTCCCCACTAATTTGAAACTCCAGAAACCCTGCTTTTTAAGAATGGCAAGTATAGATCATTTATTGTCCTCAATCTGAAACAGCAGCATAATTTCCTCTTTACTAAAAAGTAATATGATAACGAGGCCAAAGAACAAGGACTTACTTCTGGTTCTGATAATCATCTACTCTCCCAGACTCTGATTATGGAATTTTCTTGATGTTCCTATAAACTGTTAAATGTAGTCCTATTTATACACACAAGTGGGAGATGGGGAGCCACCCAAGGTAATTCTCAGAGGGACTTAAGAATAGTAGTATTGGGAATCATCTCTCTGTTTTAATTGAAACAGGAACCTAATTGTCTACGTCACATTTCCAAAATTTCAAATCTATCAGCTTTTGCACTACTAGTTCTGTTAAGGGCACAAAGATGTTTATCTTGATTTCTTGGTTAATATGTGTGTTATGATTTAATGAGGTGTCCTCCAAAAGCTCAATGTTTGAGACAATGCAAGGAAGTTAACAAGTGAAATGATTGGGCTCTGAGACCCTTAACCTAATCACTGTGTTGATTCCCTGGTGGTGATTAACATAGTGAGTGGTGACTGTAGGCAGGTAGGGTGGAGAAGGTAGGTCATTGGGGTGTGTCCTTAGGATTTACAGTTTAGATGTAAGTGGGGCTCTCTCTCTGCTTCCTGCCACCATGTTCATTTGTTTTTTGGTGTTAAGTTTTCTGAGTTCTTTGTATATCCTAGAGATTAATGCTTTGTTGGAGGTGCATGTGGTAAAGATTTTCTTGCAATTCGTAGCCTCTCTCCTCACATTATGGATTGTTTCCTTTGCTGAGAAGAAGCTTTTTAACTTGAGTCCATTTCATTTATTGACTTTTGATTTTACTTCTTGTGCTTTAGGAGTCTTGTTAAGGAAGTCAGCTCCTAGCTGACATGGTGAAGATTTGGGCCTATTTTTTTCTTCCATTTGGTGCAGAGTCTCTGTTCTGGTGCTAAGTCTTTGATCCACTTTGAGTTGATTTTTGTGCAGAGTGAGAGATAGAGATTTAATTTCATTTTGCTACACATGAATTTCCAGTTTTGACATCACCATTTGTTAAATAGGCTGTCTTTTCTCCAGTGAATGTTTTTGTCACTTTTGTCTACTATGACATAACTGTATTTCTGTAGATTTGTCTCTATGCCCTCTATTCTGCATCATTGGTCTACAAGTCTATTTTGGTGCCAACACCATGCCATTTTTGTTACTATATCTCTGTAGTATAGTTTAAGTACTGATATTGCTTCATTTTTCTTGCTAAAGATTGCTTTAGCTATTTTGGGTCTCTTATATTTTCAAATAAATTTTATGATTTTTTTTTACTTCTATGAAGAAAGTCATTGGGATTTTAATAGGAATTGTATTAAATTTGTATAATGCTTTTGGTAGTATGGCCATTTGACAATATTAATTCTGAGTATCCAGGAGCACAAGAGATCTTTCCATTGTCTGAGGTTTTCTTCAATTTCTTTCTTTAATGTTCTGTAGTTTTCATTGTAGAGATCTTTCACATCTTTTGTTGGACTGATTCTCAGTTTTTTAAATTTTTAAATTTTTATTTTTTGAAGCTATTTTGGTTGGGGTAGTTTTCCCAATTTCTCTTTCAGTGGATTTGTCACTGATGTATAAAATCTCATTTGATTTATGGGTGTTGATTTTATGGTACTTTGCTGAATTCATTTATTAGTTTTAAAAGTTTTCTGGTGCAATTTTTTGGATCTTCTAGATATAGAATCATGTTGTCAGCAAATAATGATAGTTTGAGTTCTTCTTTTCCTATTTGTAACATTTTATTTATCTATCTATTTATTTATTTTGTCTGATTGCTCTGGCCAGAATTTCAAAGATGATGTTGAATATAAGTGGTAAAAGAGGACATTCTTGTCTTGTTCCAGTTTTTAGTGGAAAAGTTTTCAATTTTTCTCCATTGAGAATGATGCTAGCCTTGAGTTTAACATTTATAGCTTTTACAATGTTGAGATATGTTCCCACTATTCCTAGTATTTCTAGTGTTTTAAACATGAGGGTATGCTGTATTTTGTCAAATGTTTTTTCTGCATCTATTGTGAAGATCATATAATTCTTGTTTTTTAGTCTATTAATATGATGAATTATGTTTATTGATGTCCATATGTTGAACCAACCCTGCATCTTTGGGATGAACCCAACATGATTGTGGTGCACTATGTTTTTAATATTTTTTGTATGTGATTTGGCAGAATTTTATTGAGACTTTTTACATCAGTGATATTGGTCTGAAATTTTCTTTCCTTGATGTGTCTTTATCTGGATTTGGTTTCAGGGTGAGATTAGTCTTATAGAATGAGTTTGGAAGGGTTCCCTCCTTTGCTATTTCATGGAATACTTTGAGGAGTATTGGTGTTAATTCTTCTTTGAAAGTCTTATAGAATTAGGCTGAGAATTCCCCCTCATCCTGGGCTTTTCCTTGTTGGTAGGCATTTCATGGCATTTCTATTTCATTACTTGAAATTGATCTAATTAAATGGTGCATGACCTCTTTATTTAATTTGGGTCGGTCACATATCTCTAGAAATTTGTCGATGTCTTTGATATGTTCTATTATATTGGAGTGTACATCTTCAAAATAGTTTCTTA